AGCTGCCCCTCGCGCGCCCCCCGGTGCCGACGCACGTTTGCCTTTTCTCTCGCAGTTTACCACTGGGTCGAGATGCGGGCGAAGATGCGGATCATGGGGTTTCGGGGCGCTGCCATCAAGCCGCTGAACGAGGAGGCGGCCGCAGAACTGGGCGCCGAACTGCTGGGCGAAGCCATTGTCTTCGGGGTGGGGGGGCTGTGCATCTTCCTGGAGTACTCGCGCCAGAGCAGCAACAGCAAGAAGAAGGAAGACGAGCTGAGCAGCACCCTGCTGGGCCTGCAGGCGCAGGTGATGGAGCTCACGTTGACTGTGGAGACTCTGGACGCACAGCTGCGGGAGATGAACAGGGTGCTGGTGGAGGTCTCCACCGCCCCCAAGAAGTAGCAGCCTGTCGCCGCTTAGAGCGGCGCGGTTCCTGGTGCGGGTCTCGCAGGCTGGTCCAGACCAGCGGGGAGAGCTGGGGGTCTTCCACACACAGGAAGGTTAGGGTTTGGGGTGCTGTGATGGGTGCCCCAAGCTGAATTGCTCAGCCTTTTCCTCGAGTGTAAATACTGATCGATTAAAAAGAGAGAGAAAGACCAGGTTCCCTTCCTTTAATAACCTCCAGGGGAGGAGCTGCAACGGCTGCCTCCCCGCGCTCTGGGAGGAAGCCCCGGTTTTAGCCGCGGGACAGAACTGTTCCGCGGTGGTTTGGCAGATACTTCTCTGGCCAGTTCCTACGGCAAGCGAGGCCTGCTGATGCCGGAGCTGGGGAGGGGAACTGGATTTATCAGGAATCATGAAAAGCGCTGTGCACGGTGGAGATCTGGAAACCAAACGAGGACTCTGGGTTGATTATGCAACGTCGACTCTTAGCAGCCGCCTGGATAGACTTTCCTCCATAGATATCCTTTCAGGTCTCTCAATGGTGTACTCCGCCACTACAATCATGCCCATCAGATAGTTGACTGTCATTCCTTGTTCTTAAATCCAGGCTGCAGGGACAGGTCCTGTTGGTCAACCACAGCTTCAGCATCCCTCACCATTGGCCATGCTGGCTGTGGCGGGGCGCTGTGGGTACAGCAGCATCTGAAGAGCCACGAGGCATCCTCCTTCAGTTTAGAGTTTGGGGCTGGGCGTCTTCGCAGGCTCAGTATTCTCCATCTAGTCGTTTGTTTGACTGAGGCGCCTATTTTATCATCATGATATCATGCCAAAGTGCAGGGACGCTGTGGAGGTGAGCAAACCCATCTAAGCGGCCTTTCTCAGGAGGGCGTCAGCATGGCAGTCATGTTTGCTGCTTCCTGAGTTGAGCTGAGAAGCTCAGGGCAGTGGGGAAAGGTGTTCTATCTCAGGTTACAACAGCAAAAACAACTCTTCCCACCTTAATTCAGTTACTCGACAAAGTAGGGTGAGCAGCAGCCGTGGCCCTAAGAAAGAACCAAAGCCACAGGTGTGTCCTAGGAATTAATTCTGGGGTTCAGAAAGTACTCAAGGATGGCCTTGTTTTTTAAAGCTAAGAATGTGTCTTTTGACACCTAATCCTGGTTGACAGATTTGGGATTATAACAAACAAAAGGGTCTAAGAAGTTTGCTTTCTCTTGCTATGAAGAAAAGCTTCCATATCAAGTATTTTCCTTATCCTAAAGAAATCAGGCCCCTGGCAGATTGATTGGATTGCTACACTCCCTAATCATAACAATTCATGGTGGTTTATGATAGCAAAACAGAACAGTGCACAATAAAAAAATTGTATCATTTTAAAAGTCAGTAAAAAACTTTCACACCTGTATACCCCATCTACGGATGCCGTGAAATGGGTAGCCTTAAGTACCAAAAGCTGCAGGGAGCAGCTCTTTTTTCCTTGCTTTGCAAAATATGGTTGAAGGCTTTAAAGATCAAAACTGACACCCCAGAAGTCTGTGGGTGACCAGTTCAGCACCTGCAGTATTGGAGTAATGGGTAAGGAGCAGCTCTCCCCTGCCAGCAGCTGCATTTTGCACCCATTGTAGTTTCGGAGTAGTCCTCAAAGGTAGCCCCCTATACAGCATGCTACAGTAGCCTGTCCTGGTGGTGAAGAGGGCATGTGTTACTATTGGCAAGCATAAGACAGGATCGTGGACTAGCCACAATTTTAGTAGTTTGTGCCCTCTTTTGGGGTAATAACCAGTAGCCCAGCCTTATACAGCCCTATTACTTAGCATGAAGCTTCTGCCTGTGATTCCAATATCCTGGTGCAGCATCTCTCTCCAGGACTGTTCTGACTGAGCCCTCTGAATTATTAACTTCTTTGAAAGCACTTCTATTGACTGCTTTTGCTTAGAGGAGACAGAAATGAGAATCTGCACAGCAAGACAAAACAGTGCAAAAGAGGATTTAAATGGGTGGTGGGGAGGGGGGAAATCCTTTGATTTGTGCTTCATCCTTTTCAAACCTCAATATTTATTTTTGGATTTAGGATTCTCTGTGGCAATAAACTTCAGGTGAAATCAGGGCATTGAATAAGCAAATGCAGGGTCTGGATTGGTGCCCAAACAGGCTGAAGGGGCAGGGGCTGGAAGATAGGCCATTTGGGCAAGAGGGGAAGGAATGGATCTGTGCCAACCAAAAGCAGTTTCTGAAAAGCATCCAAACCGAGGACAGCTGCTTTTCCCACTTTGCTGCTGTTGTGGGGACACCGGCTTCCCTCTTATGTTTCTGTATGTTTCCTATTACAGAGGCCGTCTTGCCTTGGCATGCTCTGCCTTTGGTTTTGCCCCCAAGCCCTCTCCAAGAGGGGCAGCACCTGGCCAGTTTCCTTCACAGGACTCCTGCGATCAGTAGGCCTGGGCTGTTCACAGCCCTTGGGACAGTTCTCCAGACTGCTGGAAGGTAGCCAATGGGTGCATCTTAGCAAACACTCCCTGAAAAGGGCAAAATCTAGCCAGACTGGAGAGTGTTTGAATGCCCAGGACTAGTGCCACTCCCCCTTCTGACCAACTTCTATTCTCCCTCTTCCAGCACCCCCCCGGCCATCTCCGGTATCAACCTGGCTATAGAAAACCCCTGGATTCTTGAGTTCCTATTCCTCCCTTTCCTGTAGCCCCACTACCCACTTTCCCCCAAAAGGGAGACAGCGTCACAACAAACAGCCTGAAGATTTAATTAATTAATCTTCCTAACTCTGCTGGATGAGTGAAGCATGGGGGTTTCCTCTATTGTGCATCAGTCAGACTGCACCTAGAATATTCTGGACACATTTTAGGAAGGAAACCGAGGACTGCATAAGGTGACAAGGGCCCTGGCTATCAGAAATGGAGGTGGGTACATCTTGCCTGGAAAAAAAAACAGGGAGGCAGAATAGTTGGCTGGCAGAATAGTGGATTATTCCTGCATTGGGCAGAGGGTTGGACTAGACAATCAAGCCATGCTCCACCCCTTATATTTCATTATTCTAATGCATTAGATTTGGTTACGGCTTAATGTGTAAATGTAGCCTCTTGTGGTTTGTATCTTCAACTGTTAAACCAGTGTTTCTCAACCTTGGGCACTTTTAAGATGTGTGGACTTCAATTCCCAGAATTCCCCAGCCAGCCCTACTCGATATCGGAATAAGGGTGTTAAAATCTACTCATCATTAAAGCACCCTTCGGTTATCAGACACTGCAGCACCGGTTAA